TGAAGAGAAGAGCAAGCTGTGTGCACAGCTCAGAAAAATAATGTAATAGCCAAAAAATGCAGCAGTGGGTTGTTAGGTAACAGTAACATCCCACTGCTGCAAATACCCGTTTAGGCAGGGGAGGGTTGAAAATAAAATAAATAATAAGGTAAAAGGTAGCATATCAATTAATGAGGTCTTTATGATATATATTCTTTTGTTATAGTTCGATTTGTTGTTGATTCCTTCTTTAGAGTTGTTTAGTTAATTTTCTATTCAGTGTTTGTCTTGGTTTTTTTTAGTAACATTGACTTGTTAAGTGTGGTTAAGAATGGGTCACAAAGTTTTTACTTTTTCCTTCCTCGCTACCCAAGGTATTCGTGCGAGACGTTAAAAAAAATTGTACTTAGAATTGAAAATTTTCACTCGCATTGTACATTTTAGAGATCAAGGATCAAATTTGGTTCAGCGTCTGTTTGTCGGTCTGTCTGTAGTCAAATTGATGTGACGGGCATATCACCTACTACCTTTCATCCGACTTTCATGAAATTTCTAGGGATTGTTTCGGAAGATGTCTAGATGACCCCATATCCGTTTTATCAAATTCCATCCACCACTTCCGCTTGCGCACGCGTAAATGTACTTTCATTGTTATGACAATATTTCAGAAACGGCTCATTCTATTTGGGTCAAAGTTGGATAAAATGTAGGTATTGGTAAAAAAATAATGTAGAGTCAATTGATTGAATTCTGTCCCCTACTTTCTCTTATATATGCGCAAACGTGTTTTCCTTGATACGTCAATATCTCTAAAAAAACACGTTCGACTTGGCTCAAATGTGGAGGGGAGTTAGTGGTGGTTAACAGATAATTAAGTGAATATCAATTTTATCAAATTGTGACCACTACTTTAAAAAAAAAAACTTTCGTTTTCAGACCAGTAAATGAATAATTTGATACGCCGATAGTCCGAAAAGGACTCATTCAATTTGAGAATACTTTCTCTCTTGTATTTATTTTGCCAGCCTGAAGAAGAATAAAGCCTTCGAAATTGGTGGCTCAATCTTGGAATTTGGTAAAGAATTAACAATGATGTTGCTTACCGACAAAAAACACCTTCGATAAATAATATAAATCCTCCTCTCTCGATCATAGAGACCTCAAGTCAACGAAATGAGACATGTATTCAATGACAGTACTACAATTAACGTAAGATGTGTGGAAGAGAACCCTTTGCTTTGAGTTATCTCGAACATAGTACGTTTTTGGACGTAAAACGCAGGTCTCGTTAGTTCCGAGGGAACTATCCGGGTCTTGGTGTACGCATCAAAAATTTCAAAGCCCAATTTGTCCCGTATCGATCTACAGACTTACCACCGTTCTAGTATTGAAGCCTAACAAATTGTTTATATCGGCTTTATTTATTTTAGAAAGAAAAACAAAAGCGGAGAGTAGGATTCGCAAAACTCCCGTGAAATTCTGAATCCAACGGTACCCCATTCATGATATTTGAGCATGACAGGAGCTTACATTTGGTACAAAACCGACTTTGAGCCTTGCTGTAATAATATACGTGGGGATAGCATGTTTTAGAAGAAAAATGTATACTCTGCTGTCAGCAGTTTAATGTTTTACGATTACACATGAACTGATAGCTCACACCACAAACAGATTTTTAAAAATCATTTTCCGTCATATTGAATGAATATTATTGTAAGGAAAGTTGATAAAATTCGTTACGTTTTTCTCTAAATTTTGGGGACAAACCAATTGTCCAACCTTACAATCAAAGTATTTGAGACCGTTAAAAAAAGGTTTCTATAATTCGAAATACCATCAAATAACATTAAAATTCCTCATGGTTAAAAATCAGTGGATACAGATTATGGCGTATCAAAGCATGAAGAACTCCACATCCTCACCTTGAGAGCAATAACATTCTTTACCTTTTTTTACATTCACATTGAGATATTTTTTCTTGTGGTTTATGAAGATTAATTTTAATGTCACCATTCCATTCCTTAGAAGCAATACAAAAAAAATAAATACCATTACTGTTTTTCAACCTGAAAAAACATGTGAAAAACGAACATTAAATGATCAATATAAGAATGACCCAAATGTTGCCCACCCAGTAACCTTGTACATCATAAGTTTCATTGAATCTGGGTAAACGGTTTCTTTTTATTTTCTTGTATGGGGTATGACTGAGATGCAAAATCGAAGTTTTCAACCTCGGCCCCTCTCTTCCTTCCTTGTGTCACTTTTGAATATCCCAAAAACTGCAACACATTTTTAAACTAGATTAAATTGACTACAATTTAACACCAAAACAGGCTCAGTAAATCAAATAATTTACGAGATACAGATTTACAAATTTTAGAAAATGTTATTTTCCATTTAAGTTATTGTTCACGTTTGATCATATGCAATTGTCTTTCATCTTCAATAACCTTTCTGATATGAGTCAGTGAAGTAAATATTTATTCATTTTAATATTTTGAAGGAGGGGGATGGGAGAGGGTATTCCGTGGGCCATACATAGCCCCCTTCCCTGCATCCTCCCTCCACATCACTATAAATTGCATTTCATTGTGTCTCTTTTAACTATACTAGTGTTCGCCCAGTGGTCGAAATTCGACCTAAGCCATTAAAAATTTGAGGAAAACATACTAAAATTAAAAATAAATTCAATAAATAAAGAGATTGATTCAAAAGTCCTCATTTATTAATATAAACAAAATTTCATTTTCAATTAAAAATTGAGCTTAAACTACCTAAGATTATTTATGAGTAATACAAAATAGACTCATTCAAAATCTTTAATTTCCATTTTAATTTGTGTGTGTGTTATTATCACAATAAATCAATGTTAAGATTAAGCAAGTAAAAAATAAATTTAAATTAGCAATTTCAACTGTGTTTAAATCCATTTTTGCAATCCATTGCAGAACTTCAGTGAACAAATATTCTGTTATTGTTTAGTACATAGCCTTGACCATTGCCATTGGAAATATAAATTTCAAAATTTTAATTTTAACGTGGTCTACTTGCTGCTACATATAATTGTCCATACGAAATTACTGGACGTCGCAATAATACACAAACTTTTCCAAAAGTTCGACCCTACAATTTGATTATAGTCATAACAAATGCAGCTATTAATAACAAAGTTGTTCTTTGAAATTCGAATGGAAGTATTGTGTCAGAAAATATTAAATTAATTTTCGGAATTAAAATTGTTTTATTTAAAATAGCTCCCGTCAGTACTTCACTCTCATTCCTGTTCCATTAAATACTGCTTGTGCACTATTTAAGTTAAGAATGAGTATAACTACAGAATTTATTTTGAAATTTAATTTATGAGGTAACATTCCATGATATCATCTCTTCAAATAATCGTCCCGATCACTTCATTTAATTTATAGTTTTCGATTTATCAAAAACAAAAATAGAGGAAATCGACTTTTCAAAAGAAAAAGTACTAAATGTGTACTTTTTGAGTTATTCCCAAATAAAATACTGAATTCATCATAAAAATTTATGCAGCTTGTTTTTGGGAAAGTATGTTATATACATAAATTATAAATGTTTCAAGGGGAAGAATTTAGCCAAGTTTCATTGAAATCATTGAAGCCGTATTGGCGCTACAGTCTAAAGCGAATCACATTTTTTGGCCGCCATTTCAATGATCATAATGAAAGGTCTGATCATAAAAAAAACTTTTAAATATTATTGCGACGTTGTGTCAAAATTTCAAAGAAATCGGTGAAGAACTTTCGGAGATTAGCTGTTTTGAACAACTACCATTTATATATTTATTTACAAACTATTTCATATTTTTATTTATTGATAAAACTCAAGCTTGTCAATAGATATAAAACAGAAGAAAGAAAATCGGTTGAATAATAGAGGAAAAAAAGGGGCTGAACCGTTTTGTGTTTGCCTATTTATATAACGATATTTAAAAAAAAAAAGGCAATGTTCTCACAAAAAAAAGTGGCCGCACTGCCCCAAATGGCGTCCAAACATGGCTGAGTGCTTTGATGTTAGTTTTTCGCTCACTGAGACACAGCAGTTGGCTTAATTTCGTCATAATTGGTATTCTATTAAAGCTCACCTAAAGCTCTTCTAAATAAAGTCAGAGTTAATTTACATAAATCAACATTAGGTTCCTATCTCTCATTATTTTTCGCCATTTATATATCCATGTATCCTGCTCTTTCAAAATTTTAAATTAAATAAATGTTTACTTCACTAACTCTTATAAGGCAGATTATTGAAGACATTAACATGAAATTAGATTGACATTTTTAAGTTTCGAAAATTTCATTCACTTCATTTACTATTTTGGTATGCAAATGATGTAAATGTTGGTTAAATATTTTTTTTATTTAAATTTCCGTCTTCTGGTTGTGAAAAGTGATCTTCTTCTACCAAACGTCCCTTCCTCACTCACCCCTCCTTCGAAATGTTAAAATGAATAAAAATTGACTTCACTGAATCATATAAGACAGGTCATTGCAGATATAAAGACAAGTGCATATGATGAAACAGGAAAAGTAGCTTAAAATTTTCAAGTTTGAAAATTTTCTAAAATTTGAAAATATGTATCTCGTAAACTGTTTGACTTACTGAGCCTATTTTGGTGTTAAATTGTAGCATACTTAATCTTATTTAAAACTGTATAGCATTTTTTTTGCCTAAAACGTGTTTCTTAATGGTCAAAATGGGGAAAACCCGAAAATCATTTATAAAATGCCACTTTCGGTCAGTTGATTTTTACGAAAAAGTTTTGTGTGTCTTTTCGTTTTTGACCTAGATTGTTCATACAAGTACCATTTTGCTAGCATTATTTATTTTGAGTAAAGAGACCAAAAAACTTGCATTTCCATTGCAACAAATTTTTATGATTGCAATACTTTTTCTTACTATATATTTCATATATTGGTAATTAAAAGAAAAAAACATGGTAGAATATAAGTTTAGGTGAAGGCAAGGCAATAAGTAGAAAACTCAAGTTAGTTTTTAACAATTTTAATGAAAGGACTAAATAATTGGAAAATTATGAAAAAAAAAATCAATAAAGATTATAATTCTTCAAATTTGATAGTAGCATCTGATTTTGGAACCAACAGGAAATTTTCATAATCATGTAGAACTTTATTTTGATCATAAGTTGGTAATATTCTGTACTTCAGGAGAATAAACGCAATTAAAGTTTTTACAAATAGGTTACCATATTTCAGACCTAAACAGAGAAATGAAACATTTGAATATTGAAAATCTATCTTAGGAATCATCATAAAAAATTCATGTTTAAATGAATAGATGGCCCATTAATTGAATTTTAATTGTTCTGAAAATAATCCAATTCCTTACCAACACAGATTCGCGGCCCTTCACCAAAAGGTAGGAATGTGTATTTTGTCATTGACTCCTTATTATTTTCAGAGAATCTTTCTGGGTCAAATTTTTCTGGTTCAGGATAATATTCTGGATCGTAATGAAGGGCTAAAGAGGAAATAAATACTTTAGTTCCTTTGGAAATTTTCACATCTTCTATCACTGTATCCTTAGTACAGGAGCGAGTCAACACTGTTACTGGGGAGTGGATTCTGATCGATTCTGCAAAACAATTATCAAAATAAATTAAATGTTTTACACATCAGTATAGTTCAGGTAAAGAAAATTAGTGGTTGCAATAATAGCTGAGGGAGAGGTGGGAGGGAGAGAATGAGTTTCATCATTAACCATTGCTTACCATCACAGACCATAATGGCGAGGAAATATCTACCCAAGGAGCAAGTGATAGATAACGTTAGTTTTTGGATTTGCCTTCATTTTTGCAATGATAATATTTGGCAAGTTTTATAAAAGATCAACTATGTGGCAACTATCAGTTAATAAAGTTTTTATAGAAGAAATTCATTGTACAATTATCTTTAGTTGAAGTAAATTGCATCTGTCACCCAGACTGGAACTCCATTACAACTCATTTAAAAAAATCTTTAGACCCAAAATGCAACATAAAAATTATTCTTAACTTGTTATAAATATGTAATGTGATTTAAAATTTTACAGCTTATGGTATGACATAAAACAATAATATACTGATTTTCCATCATCTTTATTTTGTGAAAACCTCTTTATGTGGAATGTATTTCTCTAGAGATAGAGAAATACATTCCACAAATACTCCAACCAAACAAATACTTCCTAGCTTAATTCAGTTGATTTTAGACTGACTGATGTTTATTAATTGTTTTGAAATAGTAGGTTACCATGGCTATAGCTCATGTGAAGACATGTCCTTCGTTTATGCAGTCTGACGAAAGAATAATTTGGTTTTACCAAGCATCCAACTTCTTTTAGGTCATCTTTTGCTTTTTATATCGTTTGTTACAGTATCATTCTAAAAATATTCGTTAAAATATATATTAGGTACTTATTAACAAGAATTTAGAGATGGTGCTTAAACCTGTAACACCAATATTTACTTGACGAAAAAAGATTATTAGGATCTTATAGTAGAATCGAGACTTATCAGAGACATAGAACCCACCCCAACACCAAGTGCTGAGGGAAATGGGGAAAGAATTAATTTTATTTTTGGGAAATAATGCTTCAACAAATTCTTTTTTATTGAAAACAACAATCCAAAGGCGTTATGGAATACCCAAAGACGTCCAAAGTATATAGAAAACTAGTTACTAGTCTAAAAAAAAAAAAGAGGTGCTGAGTTCCACACTTATCAGTCGCTAGAGGAAAAGAATAGGAGAATAGTGTTAACAATTTTACATCACACTACGCCTATCTCTAAAATAAAAATGACTAGAAAAAACACGGATACAAATGTTACAGTAAATACAACAAATGTTATTTCAAGTTTTAAAAGACCTCTACCTTTGTTCTTCATAGATATTTCCAAGGCCACATACAATGATCAATTTTTTGAAATCCGAACGATATATAACACAAAAATTATTATTGAAAAGCCTAAGAAAAAAGGGATCATACCGCAGAGCATAGGATGCCAAGAATATGGGCATGCAAAATCGTATTGCAACCATACTCCACGCTGCATTATATGTGGCCAATGCGATGAAAGCGCATCCTGGTTGAAGAAGGGGGAAATTCCGGCAACATGTGCAAAATGTAAAGGTGGCCTCCCAGTCAGCTATATAGGATGTCAATTTTTTAACGATTGGGTATGGTATGTATACCATTCCTGAAGGACATAGAGCATGTACTGAATCAAAACAAATAACCGTCCACCTCTAACAACCAAATAATACCCCACTCTCCAGCAGCCGTTGCGGACACATCACCCAATACAAAAGAATGCTTCGCAGAAACATTTACCAGCTCACAGCAGGGAACACCAGCAAGAAAATAGTAGGCAGGAATGGAAAACGCTACTTCATCTGCCCACATTAAACCACACCTTCAGGCATGAGGCAGGAAACTTTCCCAGAAGCCACCTTCAGCTGAAAATAAATTTTGGTATCCTCGAACAGCTCGCACAGGTGACTCAAGCCATGTATCCACAAAATGGCCGATAATCAGCTCTCTGCGAGCTCTTTTTTTTTATTTATTTTATATTAAAGACGTCAACCACCAGGGTCATTATCGTGCGAGCTCTCTCCATCATTCTGTGGAACGCCAATGGACTGATACAACATTGAACTGGAATTATATCTCCATGAAAAACGTATAGATGTAGCCCTGATAACAGAAAAACTCCTTACGCCACGATCAAAATTTGGTATATCTGGCTATATGACACACAGGAGAGATCATTCCAACAGCACTGCCCATGGCTGCACTGCTATACTTATAAAATCTTCATTATCACACAACCATTTACTCTTACAAACTACACCTGACATCACACATCACATGAAACACAATACATTGACACTGGTTCCCATTTATTGTTCTCCAGGATATGTGCTGACATCTTCGATGTTTTGCAACTTCTTGCAAACTGTAGGTCGATGTTTCATTGCAGATGATGACTTGAACACAAAGCATCAACATTGGATATCAGGACTAAGCATACCAAGAGGTAGGAGTTTAAGGGCTGCTTTCCACTAACTTTCAGTATACATTATCATGCTAGATGAAGCAGTAAATGTGCAAAGAAGACCAGTATATATCAATGAACCAACTGACAGGAAGTCTTATAGAGAGTTTTTAAACTCATCACTTTTGATCCAATTTTCTACAAAAAGTGAAAAAGAACTGGAGAAGGCTGTAAAAATATTCACAAAAAATATCCAAAAAACAGCTTGGATTTCATCAATACCCGAACTCGGGTTTAACTCTGCGACTACTGAACACTTGCTAAAATACCCCGTAAGTACAGGGGTGCCCAGAAAGGAATTTCATGGCACAAGTTGCGCCATCAAAATTTTGAGGGAAGCATATTTTGAATTTTTGAGGGGAGCACATTTTCTGTTTTTAAGAAAATATGAGTAATATAATATCTTGGAAGTGGGAGAAGATGAGGGGATAGGTTCTTGCACCACTGATCTTGGAGAGAATGTGCATCCCTGCCTCAGTACATAAGGGACTTAATTACAGCAAAGAGAAGAAAGCATAAAATATGACAGACTGACAGACAGCCATCAGATAGGGGGGGGGGTGGCCGAATGGGCTAAAGCGTGTGCACAGCGTGTTGCCTGGCAACCTGATTACAGATTTGAGAAGATTTAAAAAGTACGAGTTCGCGTCCCGGTGCCAGAGGGGATTTTTAATTCCCCGCCCTCACCTCCCGGCCCGGGAAAATCTCGTAGAGAAGAACAAAAAATACTAACTTAAAAGAATAAAAAAATAAGAACTTAAAAGGATAAACCCAAAAATGTAATAGGACCAACTTTTTTAAATTTTTATTTTGGCAAACAGTTGTTGTGTGACTGTAGTGAAGAGAGGATAGGAGAAGAGATCCTGGCTCCAGTGGGAAAAACCCAGTAATAGTGTTACCAATTTCGAAGAGTTGTTTGGCAGAACTTTGGAAAGCGTTTGAAGGCAAATGAGTTCAGTATCACAAAGGAAGAAACATATAATATAGAAAAAGGTTATCTTGCCAATCCATATTTGACTTTATTTTAAAATCAATCAGTGTTTAATTTTAGTTTAAATAGTGTAAATAATAATAGTTTGTCTGAGTTGATCTGATTGTCAGTAACCCACACCCGAGATAAATAAATATATTAATTCTCTTATAATTTTGTTTATTATTAAACAACCTCTTATTTATTTAGGAAGTATTCCAATGGTAAGAAGTGATATTCTGAGGTTATATTATTATTATTTGTAAAATATAAGAGGGATGTTACAATATAATCCTTTACCAACCATTTTATACAAATTTAAACGGACATATCAACAGATTCATAAGACACTTGGCTACAGCGCATTTGCTAATTGTGAATAAAAGTTTGACAGTTACAAATACATTTTTAAAGACAAAAAAAAAAAAAGAATTTAGATAGAAAGGCCTCCTTCACTTCAAGAATAAAAAGTGAGTAGAATCATTTTTGTTATGAAATTTTGATTTACATAATGTTTGGTAAACACTGCTGCCTATTTTAATGTTCTAAAATTGTATTTAATTAGAAATGTAATAATTTTTTTACCATCAAACACCATTTGTAAATAAGGGATTCCATTTATTTTATCAAAGTCAAAATCTTCTGGTTTCTTTCCAACCAAGAAGATTTCTCTTCTAAGTTTTTCTTGAATATCTTGGTGGGTCGCTAACTCCAACAATAAAAATGTGCTTACCGTTGCAGATGTAACTGTGGCATCAAGATAAAATGTTGCACAATGAGCTGACATTTCCAAGTTTGAGTAAGCTGAAATTAAACAAATTCCATTTTGAACCAAGTAATTTAAAATATGTATTAAACAATAGAGATAGGAAATTGAACCTTTATCGCCTTGCTCCAACTTCTTTTTATTTAGCTTCAATATTGTATCAAATAGATCACCTCGTGTAATTTTAGTAGTCTTTCGATGTTCAATATTTGTTTTAGTCATAGATATGAAAAAATCTTCTGCTGCCTTAGAAGTAATTCTGAAAGTACACAGTGAATAAAAAATAATTTTTTCAAGTTGAATTATTATGGGCGGTTATACTTCTGATGGTTCTTAAGCCATTTTATGTAAATTTATTAATTATCATTAATTAATAAATTAAATTCATTTAGAGCTGATGAACTTATTCTACTTTCTTTTCTAAGATGCCTTAAAATAAGCACTGATAGTACCCAATAATTATCTATGTTGTTCTTCAATTTGCCTATGGTTTAGATAAGGATCTAACTTACTATGTTTACAAACTTTGGTTCCATTTTGATAAATTATTCAACATAGGAAGGATAAATATAGTTTATTTAAGTTACTTTTTCCTCCTAGTATAAATATTTTATTTTGGTTTAATTGAATCATAAAAAAACAAAAAATTTACACTAAGAGGAACTAACATAAATTAAATTAATCCTTCCTATATAGAATCCACCTTCGGATCTATCTTGAATCGTTAGTCATCAACGATCATCCTGTCACATTCAGTTCATCCGTTAAAAACCTAGGAATCACCATAGACGAAAACCTCTTCTGGAAACCCCATATTGCCCTCATCTCCCGTAAGTCAATAGGTACCCTTAAGCTATTTCATCGCTCCCGCCACCTACTCCCACAACCCATTCGCAAGCTCCTTGTATCCTCTCTCATTTTCCCCCACTTTGACTACGGCTGTGTGGTGTACGGAGGCATCCAGATGGTACTCGAGGATAGATTGAAGCGACTCATGAATACGTGCTTAAGATTTGTCTTTGGTACATCAAAGCGATCTCATGTGTCCCACCTTTACGACGAGTTAAAGTGGCTCTTCCCTTCTTTCCGCAGACAATATTTCCTCGGATCTTTCTTATTCCAAACAATCAACACTAGACACCCTTCTTACATCTACAGTCTCCTACAGTTTAAACCCGTGGTCCACTCCCAGAAAACAAGATCCCGTGTTTCCGACCTTTATATCCCTTCCCATAGAACTAAGACGTTTGAATATTCCTTTATTTCCCGATCCACAGCCTTCTGGAATTCCTTGCCATCTGAAATCCGTCATGCCTCTTCCTTGTCCTCATTTAAATATCATCTTTACCAATTCCTTCTCACATCCCAAAATGACGTTATACAATAAAATAAATATTGTGAAACAGATTTTGACTGAGGTGAATGATTGATAAAATTTATTGTCTTAATTTTAAAAATCAACCCATGCTTATTTTATTTTATTTTTATCTTCATTTAAATAATGTTGTTGTTTTTTATTTCGTTTTTTCTCAAAATTTTATTTTATTTTTACTTGTTTTAATTTAATTTCACTGAAGATACTGTATATATTCTTTAATATTGATTAATGTAATTTTTGGCCAGATGTAGTTTTAATTTTTTTGTTCATATCTGTTATTCATAAGGGACCTTGTCCCAGAATAAAGTTTACTTTCTATCTATCTATCTATCTAGAATAATTTATCAAAACGACAAAAATAAAGAAGGGCTTCTTCAGTTTAAAACATTTTTGTGGCAATTATTGACCATTACATTACAAGATCATTTAATGTTTGATCGAACTAAATATATAATTTATTTATTGCTAAAAATCAATAAGTAACATTTTATAAAATTAAATATTAAACTAATTTGATAAATTTTCATTCTGTAAATCAAAGAATTGTGCTCATAGTGTAATTATTTTTTAAATATGACAGGCTTTATGTTATTTTAATACATCCATTGTTTTGCTTTTCAATAAATATGACCAATATTCAAAATTGTGTACTTTTTTTTACACAAAGTTTTACTTTTTCCAAGTATACTTAGTGACTCATAGCAGTGATAAAATGTTCTTTAACACAAAGCTTACGGTAATCTATTAAAACTTCAATAGGAAGAGAAAAAAACTGTCATAATTTTTTTATTATACAATTTCAAAAAAGGAGGAGATTTTGAATTTCAACACATGCACAATCAATTTTCTTTTTAAAAACACTAAACTAGAACAAAGATGTTTTCAGATTTAATTTAAATTAAAAAAAAAAACTGCAATCTATACCCATAAATCATTTAGTATTTGGCCATTAAATTAGTTCCATGCAATTATAAATAAAGGATAAAGGAAGTTTTGGTTTCACCTGCTATTAAATATTTTGCTTAAAGAAGGAAGAAAAAAGCTAGAAATCGTGTTCATATAGTTAGTAGAAAAAAGGTGTTCAACAGTACCATATTTCATGAAACTAAATTCAGAATCTGTAAATGACTTTGGTTCTATTCCAAAACCAAAAAGAATAGCTGAGTCAATTGCTGCACGTGTCGTGATGTCGAACACCTGAAATATTATGGCATTATCAATAATAAAAACTAATCATAAAGGATTTTAGTTTTATTGGTATTAATTTTAAGAATTCTTGTTTGTATAAATTTTTTTGAGGTTTTTTTAATGTTATTACAAATATTATATTTATTGTTATGTTATTAAAATTGTTGACAAGTTTAATATTAAATAACTTTAATTCCACAATTTGTTACAAAAAAAAAAGTGAAAGCCATTACTAAATACAAAACACTAGAGGAAATAAATGTACCTTTGGCCACAATGTATTTTGGGCCACCCTAAGAATAAGAAATTTAACTGGAGGAAATCAGGATTTGTGACAACATTGAGTAGGCTGTACTGCCAGAACAATTTTCAGCTGATTTTGGTGCCTCTGATCCACTCCGTTTTCTTATATTGATACGAGTGTTTTAGAGTTACAAAAGTAATTTTCTATAGTTGATAAAATAAAATATTTTTATTAAAAATTTACATAAATATATACAAAATTATTAGTCGATTGATGTTAAAGTAATTTGTTTAGCTTCTTTTGAATGCAATCTCTCAGCAAAATATGTTAGGACAGCTTCTTATCCTTCTAGTATTTGTAATAAAAAAGTGGAACTGTGATAAAGTCAATTGCTTTGTACCATTATACTATTCTTATGATATGTTGAATGCAAAATAAACAAAATTTGTTCTCTTTTTTATTAAAAATTTAAGTAGGTATTCTTATTTAAATAATATTAAAACAGTTACAGAAATGGGTTGGTTTTTCTTATTTTTGATGAATTCATTCATGAATTCTCCTATTTTGACTATACCAGGAACCACTTCCTTTAATTTTAATGCAGTCAGGTTTGTAGCTTGAATGCTTCTCAGTTCTTTCCACCTGTTAAAATTCAGTAATTTATTAATTTTTTTAAAGCTACTTACAATTCAATAAACAATGATAAATATATTTTGTTTGCTTTCACCTTAAAATTTGACTTCATATAATTTTTTCAAGAAAGTTACTTTATTACCTGAATTGACCGGTCATCATTATTTATGTAACCAACCTTAATAGAATATTTGGTAGATCATGGGATTTGATTTCATATTATAACTGATATTATAGTATATTTAAAATAAATGGATTTCCAATGAGCCTAAAGGTTGACGGAATAAAATAAAATATTTCTAATTTAAATATTCAGTCCCGGTCATAGAAATTATATCACCTATTTCTCTTGATTCTTATATTGATAACGTTGACTCCATTGAGTGATTTTGTTTTTCTTTATCTATTTAGGTTACAAGAAAACCTAAACAATGTTTCTCAGTTCAGTTTTAACTAATGGAAGTATAAAATATGTAATTACGACCAGTTTAAAAAAACTGTCCTCATCAGAAAAATCTAAAAGTGTGATGCTACATGAAGTGAAGGAATTTTCACGGGAAATAGTAACGAGGATAGGGTACCACCAATCAACAGTAGTCAGTGTTTTGAAGAAAAAAAAAAACACTATGAAGTGAAGGAAAAGAACTGGTAGGAGAAAAAAAATTATTGTTTTTATAATATCGTTTAAAAATTGGCAAAGAAATGTCCGGACATTTTGTAGATAGGAATCTGGTAAATAAAACAAAATTTTTACTGGGTAATGCAACTTCTATGACTGCGGCTGTATACATAATAAAATGTTTTAAGCGCAGAAACGTAAATGTTTTGAAAAATTATAACAGCTAATCCTTATTATACAATTATAACCTTGTATTGAAATACTAAGAATACTTAATATTAAATATAATATAAAATTTTCATTATTAATAGTATTGTAATTTATTATTATTAACTTACAAAGGTATGGTCTTTGCTGTGAATGGATTATACCCGATAAAAGGGTCGATATTCTTGTCCACTGTAAAACCATTATTACTAAAGCAGTTAAAATCTGTTGCTAAAATTCTTTTTATAATTTCTGGATCTCTCACAAAAAGCATTGGCTTATAAAAACAGTAGAAACCAACCATTTTATGTTGTTTGTATTTTCTAGAATATAAGAATTGAATTGATTATGTTAAATATTACTTTATTTTAACAACAATGATAAAAATAAAATTGTTAATTACTCACTCATAAAAATTACGAAATATGATGCCCATCACTTTTGGATTCATTATTATTTCCCTAATATTTCCAAATATAAATTCTGTTGGTAGAGAATATACATTCCTTCTTTTCCAGTAGCCATGAGCCCACCAGTTCAATATAAATAGGGCACTGAACAATAGTATAATGATTTCCCATAAAATATTGTCATAAATGTTGAATCTGTCAAACAAGTAAAGAATTTATTGAAGTTATAATTTATATTGATTATAATCAAACAATCCTTCCATGCCTTTTAGGCTACAGGGTTTTTCCAGGCCGGAGGAGAGGGCGGGAGAATTATGCCGAGTTAGAAGTCCTACTGGACACCGGGATTTGAACTCGTAATTATTTTTCCATATCTAACTTTGGTTATTAGGTTGCAAAGCGGTGCTATGTACAGGCGTTAGCCCACTCGGCCAACCCATCCCTTATTTAGAAAACAATTGTAGCTTGTACATAACTTTGTAAAATTGTTTATATTAAGAAAACAAGCGACCTAAATATATATATATATATATTTTATATTTAAAAAATATATATTATATATATATATTTTTATCCTCCTCTTTCTAACTTTTTCAGTAATATAGCGTTTTTCTGGACCAGGGAAGAGAGCAGGGCATTGATGCCAGAGTTGTTTGCTAACATTCAACTTTGACATTAGAATGATGATATATAGATGAGTGATCTATCTTACTATCCCATTAATGAAGTTTCTATTGACTTTAAGGACAGTGGTGTACCAAGAGAAAGAAAAGGATTCGGCCGCCCTAGAATCTACTTACAGATACCCTTCTTTTTTAAACAAATGATAACTTAATAATATAAAAATACATAATTGTGTTTAATAAGTAATTGGGCCCCACAATAGTTGATTTCTAAAATTTAATTTAATAATAATTTTTTTAATTACATTTTTTTTACATCTGATGAAATTAGTATTGCTTTTATTTGTATATCATCATATTTTTTTAGTAAGTGAGGTTTCACAATAAGAGTTTTTTTTAGTTGACTGATTACTTTATTTTTTTATTATTATTTTTTCCCCAAAAGATATGTTACTGCTTGGTGTTTAATTCCATTTCACAATGTTAGCTCATACTGTCTAAATTAAAAAGTGCTATGAATGAAAAAATAAGGGGGTATGATCTTCTTAGATGATTTTTTAAGATGCAAGCATTGTTCTAAAGAAGATTGAATGCCCTCTCACCTGATCGTAACTCTAAAATATCTTAATTATTTATGTTAAAAATGTTTAAATTTTTTTAAACAAATGAAAATGAAGAAGTTTTTCCCACAGAGCATAACATTGTTTTTCTCTATAAACTGGTGCTAGTAGAAGTTAATTCAATTCCAGCCTCTAAAGGGGTCTAAAGATTACCATAGAATTTTTTTTTTTTTTTTTATTTCTTTATGACATTTACAACTGTATTACATAAATACATCAAGTAAATTTGGACATAATTGATATAATGACATGAATACACTTGCTAAGTAACTACCCAATGGTAGCACTCTAATTACCATAGAATAAATTGATTTTCATACATTGCTTAGAACAACAGACTGGCTAAGAAACATTTTTAAATATAATATATAATCAAATAATCTTTGATATCATCCATTTCAATCATCCATAAGTGAATGTTGAAACGATTTAGTAAACATAGTGTCTACTAAATACGGAAATCTTAAGTAACCCAGACTAGGCAAATCCGTGGTGAGACACCGATCTCTGGACAGGTTTTCTCTAGCTGCATTTCCCTCCTATTTCATTCCTCTCGCCTCCTCGGAATATTTGACGGTTTACAAGTTCAAGTTTATTTATTATATGTTTTGAAATCACACATACAGTGGCAGTACTCTTATTTTTGTTTTGATTAAATTTTAAAGTATTTTTAAAAATCAAATTATTCATGTACAAAAAAAAACTTAATTTCTCATCCCTCATTTTTTTACATACCTCATATTCTCTCGCTTCTCAGGTGTTCTGGGTAAAGAGGCTGTAAAATACTGTTTTTGTGAACAGATGATTTTGATGGTATGGTTACCAGGAAAAAATAAGTCTTCTTATTCCAGCAGCTCCCGCCCTAACTGCGCTTCAAGGATGTGTCTAATAAAAACGTTACGCAATCTATAAAGATAATATGTGAGGAGCACTGGCGGATCTACAGGAGGGAGAGGCTTCCGGGCTGAAGCCCCCCCAAAATGGTAAAATGTAACCATGTTTTATGAAAAAAAAAAAAATCTCTAAAAGTATTAATGTTCGTCTAATTACATTTAATAGAGCTTAAAGAACTAGTTAAACAGCATTTTATATAAGTAGTTAGTTTCTTTCTTTTTTTCCGAACTAATTATCATAATATATATTAAAAAAAAAACCTTTGGGACGAAACCTTCTCTCCCCCTCCCCTAACGTTAAATCCTGGATCCGCTACAGCTGCTTACCAAACAACAAAGTTTATTTTTTATATGAAATCTGAAATTTCTAATACTTCCTGTCATAGGCGGATCTTCGGGGGGAGGGGAGGAGGCTTTCGGGCTGAAGCCCCTCCCCCCCAAAATGGTAAAATATAACCATGTTTTACAGAAACAAATATTAAAAACTATCTTTTAAAGTATTCTTATTAGTGTGATTACATTTAATAGGACTTCAAGAACCACTTCATATAGGTAGTTCATTTCTTTCTTTTTTTTTCTAATTAATTATTGTTATACGTATATGAAAAAAAATCTTTCGGGCTGAAGTCCCCCCAAAATTAAATCCGCTAGTGCTTCCTGCGAAATTGAAATTTGAATGGTTTCGAACAAGCTTTCTCAACTGATTCCAATCCTCATTCACTCTATCCTCCGTATTTAAATTAAACTAAGCATAAGTATTCTGGGTTTCTGAAAAACACAAATCAGCTGATAAACATCCGTTGAATCTAACCTTTTATATCGTAAGGTAATTTTTACTTTCAATTTCCTATGTATAAATTATATGAGTTTTCAACGGAAATACGCGTTTTTAGGTCTCCTTCAGCTGTCGCCGATTTAAGATCATGGTTTGTCCTTTTTGAAGTTGTGGCATCTTTGTAGTTTGGATTTACTATAATCCTTTGTGTAGCTGCCGCCGTCTCCAGTTCCTGTAGCTGATAAGCTTACTATTTTTCTCTTTCCTTTTATCAAATTATAAATCTTTCTTAACTTATTTACTTAGTACCTTATTATATGTTTATTTAATTCATTTTCGTAATATTATTAATTTGTTGGCTTTTATTTTCTATTATATTTCATTTTCTTTACTAATATTTAACATAAATTATTTACTTTATCTATTATATATCAGCAACAATCCAATTCCTCAGACGGGTACTGTACGCTACATCGGGCTGATGTTCCCTGTAGCCCACACGTCAAAATGAAGCGAAAGGCTTGAAAAATTGACTGAAAATACTATATTCACTTTTTTCCAAATCAAAATTGAAAATCAGACAAAAAATAAATACATACACTTACCTGCTCAAACCCATTTGGACATACGCCTCTAATCTGTAGTTATTATCCTGTACAATATTATTATTACTCACAGAAGAAAATAAGGGCCAAACAAATTCGAAATGATGGCAACGAAATGCATATATTTTTTTCAACTTATACAATTTTTCTTTTACTATAAGAATTGATATCAATGACACCATCAAAATCAAAAGTATCGTGAAACATGAAATAACAGAATCAAATAAATGATGAAGCATCTTTACTTTTAGATTAATTAAAAATATATTTGCCTCCAGTCTTTAAATGTTTTGTCCTTAATTCAATCAGTAAAATGAGTCAATTTTGTGAGATGATGATATTTATTAAGAAATATAGCTGTAACTTCGTTAATAGTTGTCCAAAATGAACGATTTTTAGACGGCTCTGTAGGGAATTTCATTACCTTTCAAACGACAGGCTAAAGGGCTCAGGGGGCTCTGAAACGTATAGATCCGTCGAAAACCGCATGTCGGAAATTTGACCCGATTGCAATACTTTCCTTAACTAGTATAGGTAGGAAAGTTATTTTACCGTATAATATATACTTAAAAAGTTTCATCAAAATCGTTAGAGCCATTTTTGCGCTACAGTCTATAGAAAAACAGGTTTTTCATTTATTGCGCATGGATCACCGAATTTCTGTCACAGGCATCAGTAGTCAAAACCCTACAAAATAAAAAAGAAGCAACAAAATCGGTTCAGTGGCTCTCGAGAAAATCTTGGCACAGACAGACAGACAGACCAATGGCTAAAAATGTGTTTTTCGGACTATAACGTATAGATCCGTCTAAAACCGCATGTCGGAAATTTGACCCGATTGCAATACTTTCCTTACCTAGTATAGGTATTAAGGTAATATTGTAATAAATAATTAATTAAAGTGACACGAAATATTAAGTTCATCTCTTCCCTTGAATCCACTTATGATTGCACTTTCAGTTCAATAAAATTATAAAAAAGCTGGTGCGTGCAACAAACAACTTTCACTTGCCACTCAACTTTGAATATAAATTATTTTTCTGGCCATGTTAGGCTATTATAAAATTTTTGAATTACATTTCTAACCGAGCTCAAGCTAAAAGCTTACATCTAACAAATTATAAATACTTTTAAAATAACAAAAGTCCTATTTATTATATCACGGTTGATTATGGATTGTAAGACTATTAGTTATTAAACTGTTATTTTTCATTACAAAGTTTACTAAAATGGAATTAAGAGATTTACATTGTTTGTTATAGACAGGTCAAAAGTTGTCACACTAATTGCAAGTGGATACTGTTGGAATATCACTTCTTCTTTCACACAAGTACAATGAAATAGTATTCTAAACAATGCCATTGCCTTGAATACATGGATTTTAAATATCTTTTCAAACATAGAAATAAATTTTAAAGTTTACATTTAGTAAGAAAATTTCATTTAATTTGCTTGAAAGCACGTGATTTACGTTAAACGGTGTTAGATTTTATAAATTATTATTTATATTTTTTTCGCCACTCTCCGTTACCTTCTACATCTTTCTATATTAGATATTGTTTTGTTTTTAATTCTCAGCTTTCCAACGATATCTTGTACGTATACCTTCTGACTATTATTTCTGGATATTCATTTTCAGCCTGAATAAGTTATTTTCTTTTTCCTTTATTCAACTATAAAATTATTTCAAAAGTTATATTAGTATTTTTTCTAACTCCTAACAATGATAAATAGCTATTATTTATAATAAACCAAATTACATGATGATGTTGGAATTTCACAATGGGAAAATTGATCAAATTATTCATTAATTTAATATTTTAAAAAGTTACATTTTTCGTCTATAAACGAACAACGAATATACTAAGGTTGATACCTAATTATTTAAAAATAATATCAGATCTAGAATTATTAAACTACAGTAAATGTATTTAAGGTTATAAAGATATGCTTTATACATCCAGGAAATGATTTTATATTTCACTTCATCTTTTTCACAAGTACAATGAAATAGTTTTCTAAACAATGCCATTGCCTTGATTAGGTAGATTTTAAATACTTCTTCAAACTTAAATATATTTTTAAAGTTTACATAAAGTCAGTAAATTTCGTTTAATTTCCTTGAGAACATGTTATTTTCGTTAAATAATATTAGTTTTCAAAAATTATTTGTAACTGTTTGGTCACTCTCGGTCACCTTCTACAACTATCTATATTAAATATTCTTTCTTCTAAAATTCTCCGCTTTCCAACGATATCTTATGCGTATACCTTCTGACAAGTATTTCCGGAGATTCATTTTCAAGCTGGATAAGCATTTTCCTTTTTTTCTCCTTTATTCAATTATAAAATTCTTTCATAAGTTATATTTATTATTTTTTCGTAACTCTTAATAATCTGAGATAGTTCATTTTTTTTTTTTTTATTTGTATTTGCCTCTACCCTAGAGGGTCTTTGGCGGTCGAGATTATTTAAAATAAACCATATTAATGGTAGTACAGAGGAAGACGTATATGAATATTGAGCATTTAAGCCCTGTAAAGTGACATCAATTGGGATAAGACCTGAATGATATTAAAGACAATTTAATTATACGATGATACACCGACTTTATTAAAAATCGTTAGAGCCGTTTTTGAGAAAATTGTAAAAATGTTTTTCAGCGTTGATATAAAGTGACACTTCCGGTTAGCCGAGTTTAAGGAAAAGGTTGCTGTCACATCTAAGGCATATACCTATCTTAAATACGTAACATTAGTTTCTTACGATTTTTCTTTTTTGAGCTAGGCTGCTAACAGACACACAGACAGACAGACCATTTTTCGGGACTTGGCTATTTGGACTCAGGGTACCCCAAAACGTGTATTTCCGTTGAAAACTCAGATTCAAAAATTTTCACGATCACAATACTTACCCTTACAATATATTACATATATTGTACTTACAATATATACGTAAGTGAAAGTAAAACTTTATATTAACATGTTTCTCAAATTCATTTATTAAACAGATATCAAAGGTTAAAGATTTATTATTTATTATTAATATTTATTTATTATTATTACAACATTTAATAACTGTTCAAAGGGGCCTAGGTATTGTTGAATGGAACATTCAGCACGACGAATCCATGCTTCTCTGGCTCTTGGTATAGTATCAGGATGGTGCTTGATAGTTACTGCGGCTTCCACGATCCAATTTCTTAGCTCTTCTTGCGTGTCAACTACCGCAGAATAAACCATAGAGTTCATCTATTCCCACACAAAATAATCTAATGTCGTTAAAGCCGGAGATCGTGGTGGCCATTGAACAGGTCCGTTTCGACCAACCCATCGGTATCTATAAATTACATTTAAATAATCAGTGACACTATTAGAAAAGTGAGCTGGAGCACCGTCATGCATAAACCACAGCCGGTGCCTAATGCCCAGCGGAATATCTTTTAGATGTTCATGAAGATTATTTTGCAAAAAGTGTAACTAAGATATTTCTGACAGCCTAGGTAGCAAAAAGAAGGTGCCGATGATGTTGTCGCTTAGAAGACCACACCAGACATTTAAAGAAAAGGTATGTTGGTAATGTCCAACCGCAGTCCTATGAGGGTTTTCTTCAGCGTAAGTATGGGTATTTCGAAAATTAAGAATTCCGTTTCTTGTAAAGCAAGATTCATCAGTAAAATGCAGTTCAAAAATTTAGGATCTCGTGTGCATTGTCGAATTAACCACTGGGAAAATGTCTGTGCTTGTTATAATCTTGTGGTAACAAATCTTGCCTACTCGATACGTGAAATGGATACAATTGTTATTCGGGTAAAGTTCGCCATACGCTGGTACAGGAAACATCGAAACGACATGACAATCTTCTGGTACTAGTAGTAGGAGATAACTGAACAGCATAGAGTATTTCTTCTTCAACGTTTGCAGCTCGACTAAATCTTTGTCGACCGGCGTTCACTCGTATAGGTTTTAGCGTGCCATTATCCCTAAGACGTCTTTCAATGGCCTCTAACGTTTTACGATTTGGTATTCCTGGGTTAGGAAATTTTTCACGATATATTTTAACAGCAGCAGCACAGTTTCTATGTACCTCGCCATAAGTTAAAAGCATGTCTGTTTGTTCTGCAAAAGTGAATAAATTTATAGTGTCTCCCATGATAATCGTAAATTGAACTGTGTCACAGTATTCACTCACACTAAAACACACAGAACTAGACAAACAGATGAGTAACTACTGTCATTGCTTATCTTTCATTTGTTTATCACGTGATTAAAACCTGTTATTTAGTATTAAACACGTTAAACTTTGTACAGTCTCTGTTAATTCAGTAAATAAATAAAAAATCTTTAAGCTGATATATGTTTAATAAATGAATATGAGATATATGTTAATATGAACTTTTTTGTTTATTTTATGTTAGTGAACACATACTTAAAATAGTGCGATTACGAAACACCCTGTATATTATATATATATATATATATATATATATATATATATATATATATATATATATATATATATATATATATATATATATGTGTGTGTAAATAAAAGTAAAAATTTATTCGTTTTTGAATTCCACGTATCCTGAAACGTAAAACCTCAAATTTTGTGAGATGGTCAAGTTTTTTAATTTTTTGTTCGATTACAATGGTTCATTATTGAAAATAATAAATCAAAATCAATATCATTAGATAATAAATAAACACAATCATTATCAATATGGCAATATATAAATATGGCATTGAAAAGTGAAAAACAGTAAAATTAGATAAGATAAAATATTATTTGTATGTGGATGTTCTTTGTTGTCAAACTTAAAGGAAAGAATGCATTTATTTATCTTTGCCAACTGAAAGTTTTGATTAATGATCTGCTAAAAAAAATTCTCAATCATTAGTTGGACTATTTTATACACTCCATAATTCTATTAAAGATAACAAAAATCAGTTTTAGTTTATTTTTATTTTTAATCTTCTACTTCATTTGCTACTGCGTAGTAGCGCATCTAGCAAAATTGATGTAGCTGATAATTTTCTTGACAATGACTTTAATTGATGAAGGAACTGACCTCTGGGCCATTTTTTTTAATCTGCGCCCAGCAGGTAACAGGAAGGAAGCAATTGAAAGAACGGATGTATTGATGTGATTTTGAGTTGAAGAGTGAAATGTAGTGTATTTGTCATAGATGTAGGAGCTTACTGTCATATCGTTTAAGACCTTATATTATTATAAATTATTTCTCAAAGGTGTTTTTTTATCAGTACGTCTTAACTTCATCAAATTGGATTGAGCCCTCATTTTGAAGATCTTGTTTTCCTGCAGTCTGGAAAAATAGGCACATCCTTCCGAAATTACAAGAAAAAATGATGAAGGAAATTAAACTTTATTTCCTTTATTATAACTAATAATTATAATTATAAGGGGGCGTTACGAATTGGGAACAAACATTAAAGCCAATTAACAAATAACTCGATTTTAAAATGAATTAAAACTTTTCATTGTATTTGCATTGTTCCTTCCACAGCCTGTGCGCCCCAATGCGTCGCATCTGTTGCATTGGCGATATTTACGCACAGGCGCCAATCAGCAGGAAAAAGACAAATTTTGCCGCTCCCACAATAAAACAAACATTTTACATAAATATTTTACGAAATTTATTTCGAAATAAAAATGATCATAAATAAATAACTCGCGTTATTAATTGAATTAAGGTCAAAAGGGCCGAAAACATGATCTAAGTGATGGAGCTCTCATGCTATTTTTTTCAAACATGAATCAGTATAATGAAGAGAAGAATAGTTGGGGTGTTCAGTCAAAAAAGAAGGCAAAAATAAATGATAATATTTATTTTTACATATGCCGACGTTTCGACCTGAAGTTCAGGTCTTCATCAGGGCTTTCTCCAAAAGTGTTGAAGGGAGAATGTGATTGATTGATGTAATTAATTGATTCTCCCTTCAACACTTTTGGAGAAAGCCCTGATGAAGACCTGAACTTCAGGTCGAAACGTCGGCATATGTAAAAATAAATATTATCATTTATTTTTGCCTTCTTTTTTGACTGAACACCCCAACTATTCTTCTCTTCATTATCCACGACAGTCAACCATTTACCAATTATGAATCAGTATAGAAAATTTTGATTAGAAAAAATTAATTCTAAAATCTTAGTATAAATTTCAAACGTTAGATTTTTTTTCTATAGAAATTGTTCTACTCTCTTGGAATTACTTTCAAGGTAATCTCCTAAAGCTTCAGAAGAAAAATTGAGAATACAAGCTAATTATAAAGCTAATATTTGTAGCAAGGGTGCCCATCTCTCCCAAGCGCAATGATGCATAAACCAATTCTCTCCCTCTCCCTCTCAATTTTATTGCTTCTCCTTTTCTTATAAACAGTGCATGGAAAAGTAGAATTAGAAAAATTTTAAATCATATTCAATTACTATAACTGTGGTCTCTCCCATATCACCTCTCTAGATCTTTGGTTTGAAACTTTTCACTCTGAAAATTCATAGCCCTGTCAAAATATATTCCCTCAAAAATTCAAAATCCCCTCAAAAGGTGCCCTCCTCAAAAATGTTGATGCCATAACTTGTGCCATTAAACCCTTTCTGGGCATACCTGATTGTAGCAATCAATTTTCTAGTGAATAATATCGCTGCAGGATTAAACATTAAGATGAAGCATGATTGTCTCTTCATTTAGAAGATTAATTTAAATGTTTTATTGCAAATATACTCTTGAGTAACTTAAAAAAATGTTTATATTTACAAAAAATATAAATTATTTTCATAAATACATTAGAAAAATTTGTATAAAATTGTAATTACTGTATTTACAAATATGAGTAATTATTTTTTAAAATTAATTAATTAATTTTTCAATGAATTGTCATTTTTGCATGTATTTACATAGTTTAAAATAATAACTGAAAATATTTCATTGAAAAATTTTACAACCTTTCAATAGTTTTTCAAATCTTAAAAAAAAAATAAACATAATTATGAACACTTAGATATTATTTACAGCAGAAGTAACTGGAAATATTATAATTCATGTTCCGATTTATACTGCTAATAGATGACAAAATATTTATTTTGTTAAAAATTTACCTTATTTCTGTTCTAGGAATGAACTGATAATTTATATCAAATGTTTTAATTAATAATAATTATGAGTATTCAGAAAATAAATTAAATTTTAAGAGATAACTTTAAGGTAATGAAATTATTATTTCAACATTAAATATTTAGTCAAAATCATCCTAAAGAATGTTAAAGTTCTGGTTGAATCTTTACAGCTTCACTAAAAACTTGATCTTCCTGATGTGCTTTGGAACATTTGCAGCCCTTATTACAATCTCCTTCTTTGCAACACTGGCGCTTATACAGAAATGTAGCAATGCTAAAAAAACAAAACAAAGTGACAATGTATTACTTTACATCACCTCATTTTCCTATGTCAAGCATTTGCCAATCATAAAAAACTTACCACATATTTACTAACATTACAAGACCTAATGTAGTAGATACCAAGTGATAAGCACCAGGCCAGGTTCCAATTGTTTTTTTAAATATATAATTGTACAAAAAAAGGGTTCCCAAAGGAATAAATCCTTCACCAACTCCAATAAAACTGCTATATATTCCTGAAATGAAAATAAATTTATAACAACTTTTGACAATTTTTTTTTTATATTTAGCATAATATAATATATGCTAGATATTTTTTTTTACATTTCATAATAATTATTAATGAAGTTTTTCATATTTTTTACTGTAATATATATATTTTATTTCTGTGGTGATCTGGTATGTGATTCTAGCAATAAACATTAACATTAATTTGGATTAGGACTACTTGGATCCAAGGGAAGCAAGAATGCTAGGAAAGGGTATTAACAATAGTTAGGGGAGTCTAATTTTTTAGTAAAACGTTAATGTCAATACCACAATATCTACAAATAAATAAAATTCATCAGAGGGTCAGAAAAAATATAGAAGCAAGCAAACTGACAACCATTGAATTAGAATAAAATGATAAAAGTATCATGCAATAGTTTACTGAAAAAAAGGAAAAATCAAAAACCTGTACCACTAAAACCCATGAAGGATCTTCTTGAGTTGATTACTTTATAAGGAAGCACTGTTTTTGTTATTAACGGTTGTGCAAGGAAGTGATTTGACCAGGATCGTGCTCAATCTCCAGGTCTTTCCTCGTAACAAATTATTTAATTATAAGTACTCACGTTATAGAGGGCTGTGTGTGCCCTAGGAGTGTCCTCTATCAACCCTGGGGTTGATACGCTCAAACCTGGGAACTTGACAATGGGGGCAGAAAGTTTCAAAATGAAATGAGAATTCATTTTCAGGTGAATCTTAGTGAAGGGTATGAATCTTTGTATTTCCAAGGAACAGAAGTTCTTTTTATGCACCGGCTTCAATGATAATCAGATACCAAACCAAGGTAAGAGTAAAAAAAGTTATCAGTGGCACTTTCCGCATTGGGACTATTATCAAAAAATCCTATTAATCTAATTCCCTCTTCACATTCTCTCTCATACTGTATTCCACAAACATTATTTGACCCTGATAATTCAGATCTACAATGTAATAAGAGAAGATTTATTCTCTTATTTATTCAAGACCACAATAAATACTTTTATATATTTATAAATAACTTATAAAAAACCTAATAACTTTGATTTAATTTTAAATTTGATTGATTATGTAAAAATTAATGTAATAGCTAAACATTTTTTTTTTATTGAGATATTAAATGAAATTATGGATTATTAATAAAAACATTGATTGAAAAAATACAGTAACTGACTTTAAAGGGTACATAACAACAATTTGAAAGACAAAAAATAATTTTGCTTACAAAAGAATATCTATATTAACTTGATTTATCACTTTTCTATATCGGTGCCAAGCTTTTTTGATTTATCATTAGACAATTATTGATCTGCCAAGGCTTAAAAAAAAAAAACCTTCACCACTACAACCCATGAAGGGTCTTGGGTGCAGTACAATGTGAGAAAGTACTGTTACAAGGCTTATCCCACTTGAAAAAGTTAGTGGAAGAAATTATCAACTTAAGGATTGTGGGACGAGTTATCGCTGATATAAAAAATTGATAAATTATAGTACAGTTTCAGTCGATTTCGAATAATTCCTTACAGTGCTTAATAATGTTCTTTTGTAAGTAAAATGATTCCCTTACATTTTGAAGTAAGTTTCGGTGTTTTCTTTATTTTTTTTATTTTTTTTTTTTTTTTTGTGTGTTGGTGCATTAGGAGAGATTTAGCAAAAACAAAATTAGGTCTTGATTCATGACTAATGGAAGAGGTAATGTATCCATAACTGAGAGGCTCATAGATAGTGACATAGAAGTAGTAAGCAAAATGAAATGATTATATCTATGTAGAGATCAATCGCAGTAAAAAAAAAGTTACCACAAATTTTAGTTATAAACTATAAAAACCAAATTATTGGCCCATCATTAAAAGACACTGATTATTTTAAGACTGTACAACATTCCAAGATCTAGTGAGTTCATATGAAGAATGCAGCCTTAAGCTTTGAGCTGGGCCGTGATTGTCAATAACTAAAAATTACAACACTCAGCATCGCTTAGTAAGTAAAATTAGGCACACATTAGTCTGATGAGAGATTTCTGTCTAATTAGTTAAAGAAAGAATATTTAGTTATTAAATATAAAACTAAAAATAGGTTCAATTAAAATTGGATCCATCTATTTTTTTTAAGTAACTACATTTGTTAAATCTTTACATCTAAGAGTGTCCCAATGTGAAGCAAATGCCTGTTTTATCATATTAAAAAATAACAAATATTTTTAGAAATATATCCCTATTGTTAGTGCAAAATGTCATATGTAACAATTTTACATGTTAATTCTCTTTGCACTAAGGGTGTCTGTCATCTTGTAGTTTAGAACTGCTATAACTACTCTGCTAAATAGGAAAATAGCAAAGGAAAATAAAATATGGAATTACACTTATAAATCATAATAATGAAATAATCGGTTTTTATACTCTTCAATAAAAAAACTTAATTTTTACTTATGACCTTGTGCACTAACAGTAGTGATATAGCATATAAGGTAAACCATTATAATTATTGGAAATGGACAGCTGCTCTTTGAAAAGTTTCCTTATCTCAAATGTTTTCATTGGATGCTAATAAAATTTATATTGGACCATATTAGAGTATTGGAAAAAAATAATCACAAATCATTTCAAAGTTATGAGTACACATACTTACAAAAAGAAGTCAAATAGAGAATCTAAGTCATTTAAAAATAACATAAACGGATACAATAAATATTAATTTATAGGAACAAGTGATACACACATACCTAAGTCGCTATCACACACACATTTTGTGAGAATTGATCTATGAAGAATAATAAGCCCATTCTTCATGGGATTCAAGGTAGAAACTAAAAATTTTAAAATGTAGATAGTCAAATTAAAACTTTATAGTGATTACAATAAATGCATATTTAAATTAAAAAATAATATTTTATTATAACTCACATAAATACAGCTCAACAATATTTTCAGATAAGCCAATCCCAGTGTATGAAATTGTATAAAGTATTAAGCTTATAATAGTGACAGTAAAATCACTCATTTTTAACCATTTTATCAGTAAAGGTGGATATAAAAGCAAACCTAAAAAAAAAGAAGATTAAGTGATAATTTTCATTAATAACTAATACTAATAATTCATAATTTTGATACATCAATTATGTATTTAATTAATAGAATATTTATGAATAAAATTGATCACCAAGGGTAATGAAATTTTAAATTTTGATTTATAAATATATTATTAAGTAGTAATATCTATGTATTCAGCACAATTCAGTACGACATAGTGTTTATAATGTAGAACAGACTTTTGACTAATTCTGGCTCCAGGGACTGCTTTACAAACTCTGCCAATATCTTTGAATAAATCGCCTCGGAGCTCAAGTAGACTCTGTAAGCATCACATCTGGAGAAATCAGGTAAAGGGTGAGATTAGTTAATCTAGATGTTAAGCTAAGTTTCCAGGATCAGTTTCATTTGGAGGCACTCTAAGATTAGCCTATAAAACGATTACATAGCTAGTCTCCACCTATGCAGTATCCTACATTCAACAAAAAAATGGCAAAAAACTTTCCTTGTCTTCAAGACAATAACTCTATACAAAATTTTTATTTCTAAAAGTATATAAAATCAGAAAGAAAAGAGAGTTTTGTTAGTCTAAATCTACATTGAGGGTAGTTGGGAGACACCTAATGCAAAAAACCTTTTAACAGTAACTGAACATCGCCTACCAAAAACATAAAGATGCAAATGGCAAAATCTCACAAAGATTGATTCTAGAAACTGTAATATTTTAATGGGTTGTGGTCCTTTAAAAAAAGTAGAAGAGATAACAGAAACGCAAATCAAACTATCAAACAAAAATTAGAAAATTATATATGTATTATTAATTTTTGCTTACCTAAAAAGTGTATTGCAATGCAGTATGCCATATAATAACCAAAGTTAGTCACATTCATATCATTTGGAAACTGTTTTTCTGCAAATAATAATCTAACGCTTCCTTCAGCTGTAATTAAAATAAAATTGTGAATTAAAATAATTACAATATTACAGTGATCTTGGACACAGAAAAGCAATAAGATGTATTGACCATATTTACAAGATTTTTTAAATGTATGAATGTTATATTGTTTTAAAATTAAACATTATTTTTTAGATACAGAAATGGTTATTACTTATCGAAATCATTAAATATTTTAATTAAAGAATTTTTGTTATAAAAGATTGCTGATATTTTTTTTTAATTTATAATGATATACATTCAATTATGGTTTACAAAGTCTAAAATAGACCTATGATGGAATGCAAAGAAACAAGAAGAAAAATTTTGATAACTAAATATCTTGGAAGACAACATTTGATAATTCTCAAAAATAACTTGTTATGAAATGACTCAAAACAAATTTTCTCATTTTATGTTTCCTCAGTGTTCTGTAAAAAGAGCAAATGAAACTAAATGGATATTTTTGGATTTTCATCTTGTTAGATTCGTCAATTTTTAACTCATGTTTCTATGACCTCCTTTTTTACAGGATAATTTATCTGTAATCAACAATTTATCTGTAATATCAAATTAATTCAATTATATCACAGCTATTTACCTACAGATGCACAATACAGCAACCAGCTGTTCAAAATCATAATCCAATTCACTACACAATAACTTCTTGTGTTAAATGGTACCAAGAACTTTTTAAGATTTAAAAAACTTTTTCCTTCTGGTGGTGGTCTTCTTTTCTCTTTCAAAAAAATGTAGCCCATTGTAATAGCTGTTATTTTAACAGCAATGATAAATATGAAGAACCATCTATAATTCAAAGCTTTAAGCAAAGTTCCTGACACATAATTACCAGTGAGCGTTCCAGCTGTCATTGCGACCATAAGCCAAGTAAACCTTAAAATTTACATGAAATTAAATTTTGACATATTTACATTTTAAATATATCTGGTTATGCCCACAACTGGATCCAGGATTTAATTTTTTGGGGAAGGAGGGAGGGGAGGGCAGTCTGTGGTGATAGAGATAGCAAAAAGGTCAGTTAAGCATTAGCATTAACAGAGCTATTTATGTCATATGTTGTGATTTAAAAAGATAACTTAATGTAAATGTTTGACCCCAATCATTCATAAAAACTAAAATAGATCTATGCAAAACAAACTCAATTTACTGTAATTTTTTGGAGAGGTCTCAGCACAAAAATTTCTCCTATTGAATCCGCTTGTGGTTGTGCCAGATAATGTCAGTTTTTTGATTAACATTTATAAAAAATAATAAGTTTCTATGAAAATGTTATATATAAAAATAAATGTAAAAGGGTTTGAATATATATTTTTTTTCACATTATAAGTCTATTCACTCAGTTCATTCTATTATAAATTTGGTTTATTAGCAATACAATCTATAGTGATAAGGAAAAAATTATAAAACTATTATTCAAGTTCATGAATCCTAAAAAAATTTGCTAAAGACATTTAGACCCTGTTTGTATTTTCACACTTGAATTAATTACAATAAGCTAGGATATCAATTAACTCCTATATCTATTCTCTTATCTGCTATAATTCTTATAATTTCTGACCTATAAAGGCTTAGTTTTTTACAAGAACCAAAATTCTGGTTAGAGTGGGGCCTTTTAACTTCTACATTAATCCTCTGCCCTCTCCTCTGGTCCAGAAAAAACTGCATGTAGCCTTAAAGGAGAGGAAGGAATGTATAACAAAAAAGATAACTTTCCTTTAAATAAAGTATATAGGTTCTGGATGCATGACAGTTAGTAAATAGTTGAAAAATTTAGATTCTAGAAATGAAGGGAACTGTAGATTTAATTAGACTTCCTGTGGCAAGTACTGTTCTCTAATAGGAAAGAGAACTTTCATTTTCACCATGAATAGTTGAAAAAGTTTCAAGGAATTCTTTTTTACAAAGCTTTATATTTGTATTGTTAACAAACAGTCGAATTTTAGTAATAAAACCCTGCTTTATCAGGCTCATACCGTGTCCGTTAACCTTTCTCTGCCTAAATGGATTCTCCACATCTAATATAAGAAAGTTGACAGTACAAGATATGGAATTGTAAATAAAACTTTCAAAATAAAAATAATTAGATCATTAACCTGGCTGTCCTTTCTTGTGATGAAGTACGGTTACTTAAATAACAGAAAACGCTCAAATGGAATAGCTGCCAACCACCGCCAATTCCAGCAAATAAAGATTCAAGAACAGCAGTCAGTAGTGGTGACATTTGCCATATATAGGCTGATATAAGTGATACACTAGCTGCCAGAATTAATCCAGATATACTAAGGGCAAGAAGAGGAAATGCAAGTCCAGTCCAATCCCTCCAGGCACCTGCTACCACCAACACAAATGGTGGTAAAGCTTCTCTTAATACACTTCTCAAAGTGATCATGTCTGAAAAAATATATTTTCTATAAACAATTTTTAGACCTTAATAATTTAATAGTAATTGTTTAGGGTTTTAAAGTCATTTTTGGCATTGATAATTATGATCTTAGCAATTAAACCATAACATAACCATTTTTTTTTTAAATTGAAAGGTTTTAATAATTGAATTAAATACATTTTCCTTCACTACCTTATACATGAAATATTCAGTAAGAAAAATTATCGGGAAAATGGACTCTGTGTGTGCGCGCGCGCGTGTTTTTTTTTATGAGCGCTGGTGAAAATATTCAAAAAAATTTGGATTATATCTCCTAAAACAACTCTACACCTCTTCTTCACATTCCTCGGGTTCACCGTCAGAGATTACTTTATGGTGGGGGAGTGGCTATATGCATCATAATTATGTTAGTTAAGCCAGGAGGTAGGTTCGCCTTTCTTTCTAGGCCCCACATATGCCTGGTTGTTGGGGATCAGTGCAATACTGTGGTTAGCTTTTAGGATAAACTCTTCTTTGTACTTCGTCTTAAATATCACTGATAAGTTTTGGTGATAATATCACCCACTGTTTTTGGCATCCTCTAAGAAGTTTAAGAAGAAAATAGTGCATCACGTTCCACAATAGCGATTCTTATACTGAACTCTTGGATACTTCGCCAACTACTTGAAATCTCCTTGCACCATCGTCCGAAAATTACCGTCCTTAAAGCAGTCAATGATTATCCTCTTAAGTTACAAAGGCACACTCATCGACAAAAGATCATTCAAGAGGCAGCTCCATTTTGCTGTGTAAAAGCTGTTCACACAAAAGGTGGCGACTGCACAGTAAGACTTTGCACCTCTTCTCTATCTCTTCTCTGTGATAGAATTTCTCTATCTTCAAAGTGGTTGCGTCTATTGTAGATTTCACTTTCCGGAAGGCGGATTAATCACTAAAGATGCCTAATACAAGTTTGGTAATCGCTTGTAGCCTTTTTGTCTGGGATTTCTCTGCTTTTAATGCCACATTTGGTTTGCCATCCAATCCTGGTTCTTTTCCCATCTTAAGACTGGAAAAAATATCTCTGAGCTGATCAGGTACGACTGTTTGTGTATCAAATGGAGTTAGTAGCTCTGTTTGCATTAATTTCTCCTCTCCTGAAAACATAATGGCAACGATTATTAACACAGTCAGTGTCCAAAAAGGCAATCGGATAACGCTCTTCTTTAATTTTTTTTTTTACGGCCGTCCTATAAAACCTTCCCTATGGGTTCCTGTCTTTTTCTTAGATTTTCATCAAGCGTCTCCATTCTCTCCTCTTGATTGCTTAACAAAGCCCCCGCCTCATGGCTTTGCAGTCTTCCTAGCGAACAATAAATTAGAGAACTCACTACACCGTACAATTTACGACAATCAGCGATAAGTTTGTTCCACCAATACAACAGAAATCTACCAATGCCTAGACTGCCACGAACCAAAGCCACCTCACACGTCACACGCTTCTTTTGAGTGTGTGAACGCTAGTGCTCAAAAATGAAAATTTGCACGAAACTGAAATTACATATCTAAATTGTTACAGCAACTTGTTCGCCTAAATCGATTAACCGAAAGAGGTACTTTATATCGCCGATGTTACACATTTTTATAATTTTGTCACATCTCGAACAATTACCATTATTAATTTAAAATAAATTTTAAAATTTCTTAATCTAGTATTTTTGAAAAAAGGTATATTTAGTTTTATTTATATTTTTTTTATTTCTTAATGACATTTACAACTGTATTACATAAATACATCTAGTAAATTTGGACATAATAGATATAATGACATGAATACACTTGCTGAGTAACTACCCAATGGTAGCACTCTAATGATATGACTACATTAGGAGATCACGGGGCCATCTTCTTTTCAGACGCCTCGGAGGTTTATCCGGAATCGAAGAAGAAGCAAGGTTAGAAACGAAAGGGTTGCGATGATTCTGAAGTTTATTATGGAAGGAAAGGTATCTGGATTGGGCCAGATCTGAAACATAAGGAACATTAAGATCTTTATGGATAATTTTATTAGTGACAAAGTAAGGGGCATTGAGGATTTTACGAAGGATTTTGGATTGTAAGGATTGGATGCGAGAGGAATTCGATGGTTTAGTGGAGCCCCATAGCTCAGCTTGATAGTGCTCAAGCCCATGGCGGGGCATTGGTTTAAGTTTTCAACAAGCAATAACCGCACCTCAGTAGAACTTCATTGGTAACTAGTAATAAAATGAATAAATACAAACTATGAAAGAATTTGATATTTAACTAAAGTAGAAACTAAAGAGATTAGGTAAGGTCACTAGCGGATCCAGGATTTAATTTTTTTTTTGGGGGGGGGGGGGGGAGCTTCAGCCCGAAAGATTTTTTTCATGTACATATAACGATAATTAATTTGAAAAAAAAAAGGAAAGAAATTAACTCCCTATATGAAATAGTGTTTAATTGGTTCTTGAAGTCTTATTAAATATAATTACACGAACAAGAATACTTTAAGTGATAGTATTTAATATTTTTTTCCGTAAAACATCATAATATTTTACCATTTTGGGGAGGGAGGGGGCTTCAGCCCGAAAGCCTCTCCCGCCTTCCCTTCCCCCCGTAGATCCGCCTGTCGGTAAGATAGAGTAAAAGACTAACGAAGGAAACACCCGTGGCCAAGAAGTTTAAGGCACTCCCGATTTCTACTGAGCATCTCCGATTTCACATAAGTATAATATTCTCTAGATTAATGTTGTTGCGCATTGGGAAATAAATCAAGTTATAGCTTTAAAATAAATATTTAAAACACAAAAAAATTCGAATTTATACCATTGATTTTACTAATTCCGACTATTCTCTGTAAAACGCATGTAACGAGTTTGAATTTTCTTTTTAATTGACGTAAACTTAAATTATCTTCAATATTAGTTATGTCTTATTTTCATTTACAACGGGCATACATACCTAATTTTAAAATTTCTTTCTCTAATATGACTTTCATTTCGATTTTTAGAAATAATCAAGGGTCGTTGATTTTCAGTTGCACTAGCGGATCCAGGATTTAAATTTGGGGGGGGCTTCAGCCCGAAACCTATTTTTTTTTATAAAAATAACGATAATTACTTCGGAAAAACAGAAAGAAACTAACTACCTATATGAAATGGTGTTTAAGTGATTCCTTAGGTCCTTTTAAATGTAATTATACGAACAATAATACTTTAAGAGGTATTTTTAAATTTTGGGGAAGGGGCTTCAGCCCGAAAGCTCCCCTCCCCCCCACCGTAGATCCGCCCGTGATCAGTTGTAATGAAAATGTATATACTATGAAAGTAATTGATAATCGAGAAAATGGAAAAAATATTTTCGCATGTTAGATATACAAAATGGATAACATTTTTTTTTTTTTTTGTTTGTTTGTTTGATAAAACCTAGAACATACGGTGCACAGAATTTTCATGATTTATATTAATTGTCTTATGTGCAGTTATTTTACATATGAATTAATAAGAATGTGCAATGATTATTTTTGAAATAAAAAATTATTCTATCCAAAGTTTTTATCTTACTAAATAACTTGTGGACGAATAAAATGCTATTTAATTTATTCCACATTTAAAATTCTATTTAAATTTATTTTCTTATTTTTTCAAAGTTTCGTGAACATAAAATCTGAAATAATTGTTGCTAATAATGTCATAAAAACTCGATTTGTAATGGTTATTGTAATTTGCATCTGTAATCTGAGTTCGTGAATTCACTAAGCAGTTTTATTGACAAATGCTAGATCTCAGATAAATCACTTGTTAATGTACCCATCATGTTTTGTTTTTTTAAATTATATTGGCTGTTTTATACTTTGAACACAACAGTGAATTTTTTTTTTCACAGTTATGTTTTTAACAGTTGCTTAAAACAGGAATTCTTTCTTTCATATTCATAGTGTAATCTAGAACACCTAATAACTATTCGTTCATAAGTTTAATAGAACAGATGATTGTAGCATCAGTTATCAATCACGTAACATTTTAAAGCAACTGTTCATAACTGTGAAAATACAAAAGTTTAAAAAAAAAATCACGGGTGTGTTTAAATTAGAAAAAGCCAATATATTAATATAAAAGATTTCCAGAGACACATTTAGTTCAAAGGTGGATACGTCATAGCTAAATTCTTTCAATGAAGTGTTTTTAGACTCGCATTTTAAAATATATTTTCCTCATCTCAAAGCAAACATTCCTTTCTCAAGTCCTGGCCTCTTCAACATACAATTGTTTCCTCACGTATATTTTTTGCTTTATTTGTTTCTTTCCTGGATTATCACTCCAACAAAGTTGGAATTTATGAATGAATTTTGCCTCGCTTTGCAAGATTTCTTCAGGACTTTACTATATTTTAATTTAATACAATAATAATAATAAATTTAGTATTTTCACACATCGTTGAAAATTTCTAAATGATCACTATTTTTTTTTATTTATATCAAGTCCCAGTCGAATTGGAGTAGCCTTGGACCAATACAAACCATATCCGGATTCAGATATCTGTCTGTAGTCTACTTAGTTTGCTGATATTTAATTTATCTGTCTATATAGTTTTATTTGTGGTATATTTTATTTTGCTTATTTTTATCATTATTCTTATTTAATATATGTATGGAAATATTCACAAATCAAAATGATACACAAAAGGGACAAATACATCTATAAACCTTCATCCTACCGACCTATCAATCCCCTTTCAATATGTTCCAAAGTTTTCGAAAAGTTAATATACAAAAGATTGGTTGACATACTAACGGACCAAAAAGTAATTTCTTACTGGGGTAGTCCTTACTGACTACATTGTTGGAGCACTAAAACAAAAACAATATGCAACCGGTGTTTCTTGATTTTGCCCAGGCATTTGGCATCTGGCACCAGGAACTTCTCTTTAAGCTCAAAACTATACTACCTCATCCATACTATCTTACTCTTCAATTTTTTTTTTTCGACAGGGCTTGAAAATTTCCTGAATTGGACCTGTGCCGGCCGGAGTGCCCCAAGGATAATTTACTTTGCATTATCTATATGCATAACATGCCTTCCACCTCTGAAACTTTGAATGTTACTTACGCTGACAATACAACAATTTTAACAAAGTACCAAGACCCCCGACTAGGGTCACTGAATTTACAAAACTGGTATTCACTTTTGGAAATTATACTATATCATGATAAATTACACCATACAATATTTACAATTCGATGAGACACATGCCCAGTGCCGGCCTTAGACATTCGACATCCCCGGGCAATGACGTCATCTCTCCCCTCCCCAAAAAATTAAATTTATTTCCTAAGCTGTTTTATGTTATGTAATATTTGAATTGTATAGCATTCAACAAGTTTTCTAATACAGTTGCTTTATTGGTAGACTAAAATTCATTTTTTCATACGTTTTGTAACTTTTTTGTTTAATTCTTACAAGCGACGAGCGCCCCTGAAGATCAGCCGGCGCAATTGTCCCGGTTGCCCCGCCCCAAGGCCGGTACTGCACATGCCCACCTGTTTATAGCTGCGGCAATCAAATTCCTGTACTTTATATCAGGCTAATATTCGACAGAAGGATGACTCTGGGGCCCACATGTTAAAATGAAACGAAAGACTTTGAACAAGCGACTGAAAGTAATATACTCACTTTTTTCCTGATCAAAATTGAAGATCAGGCAAAAACTAAATATAAACACTTACCCACACAAACCCATATCGAAATACGCCTCACAAATTTACAGTTCTGCAAAAAATACACACTTACAAAAACTACATTTCAATCCAAAATTTTATGACTAATAATCGCAGCTTCCTGGTAGGTAAACAACAAAACTTCACATCCCGACTTACGATAACCAACTATCGACCAACACATACGAACTCTCTACTCCCGATTTTAACTTGAACTACACGGACATTACACAACGACACGAGTAAAGAGAAGCTGGATGAGAGATCTCCTTTCCCGAATTAAGGAAGTAAACCAAGACCAAGAGGTGCTGCTGGGCAATATTCTTCCTCATGCCTAAAATGCCAATTTTCTTTACAATGACATCACATCTCCTTATTGTCAAGATTACGACAGATGTGGATGAAAATACGAAGAGGAAAAAAATATATACATATTTTTAAAATTATTGATATTTAGTTCTTTTTCATATGAATATTTTGTATTTTTTTTCTTATCTGATAATTTTGCCAAAAATGATAATCATGTGACAAATTTCTCTTATCACATATCCAAGCAAGAACTCTAACACTTCAAGAAGGTATTTTATGTAACTAGCTAGGTATGAAGGACCTTGGGGAGAAACCAACCACAGGGACTTATTTTTTCGGGCATCAGCATTAAATTCACCACTGAGACCCAGCCTTTTCTTATTCTTGTATGCGATATGCGACAAAAATACTATGTAAAGATGTCACGTAATTATTACAATATGTAAGTGATGCTTTGTCAAAAAAAAAATTTTAAATACAAAAAATAAAAGCAGATGGACCAGGTCGGAGCCCTTCAGGATTAGCCCCGTGTGTCCCCTTCTTGTTGGGTCAGTAAGTATGCCTATAGGAAAAAAACACGTACCCAAACAAAGCTTTTATTCACTTTCAAATCTATATCTTAAACAATCTAAAAATGTTACAAATTATTGTAATGTATAATTTTATTAACATCAAATTTTGGTAGACACCAAAGATGGCTAGTAATTAATTAAATAATTATTTAATAAAATCATCAATTAAAATTACGGTAACCGTTTGAAGAGGTGGCAATCATTTTTGTTTTCAATTAATGTTATTCTAATTGAGGTTTTAAATTACAGCTACTTCTTGACGCCGATTAATTGCGATTTCAAATTACATCTACTTCATGTAACATAAGTATAATACCTAGTGTTGCCCAAAATCGGTCTTGGTCCGATCGGTCTTGACTGGCCAAAAACAAACGTTTTTGTGAATAAACATTAAAGCAAAAACTTGACAATTTTAGTTAATATATGTTAAGAATTGACATAACCAATACACTTTTGCATTTAACTCTTTAAATTTTTCATTCAGGTTTCCCATATCTTTTTCCCACATCTTTTTCCCATATTTTTTCCAACGACCTCACATTCACTGCTTGTCATTACCACTAAACCGAACTACTAAACCGATTTTGTTGCTTCTTTTTTTATTTTGTAGGATTTTGAATACTGGTGCCTGTGACAGAAATTCGGTGCCCCATGCATAATAGCTTGCGCGCAATGAATGAAAAACATATTTTTCTATAGACTGTAGCGTGAAAACGGCTCTAATGATTTTGATGAAACTTTCCTATAATGTTGTAATAATTGTCCTTTCAATTTTCGTATATGGACTAAATTCCCGAGAAAATTCAGGTAAAAAAGATATAAAGAAAGGAAAATATTATGGGGCCTAACTCCCTAAATATATATTATACGGTAGAATTTATAATTAAACTTTTGAAAGGTAATTAAATTACCAACAGAACAAAACAAAAATTATCGGAATCGAACCACTATTAGCGATGATACAGCTTATTCTATGTTTTCAGATTTTTTAACTTACTACTTTCCTACCTATACTAGGTAAGGAAAGGATTCCTACTTCCAAATGTTTTTCCTAGGGTCGGATAGACTCTACTATTTCGAAATTTCAACTTCAATAAAGCAGATACAAGGTACCACTTTTCATGGTTACAAATTCGAGACTTTCCAGAATAAACTGAAAAATAATGACAAATTTGTCAAACACCATCGAAACCATGATTTTCAAAAACGTGATGTTGGGTTGTGAATGTACTGTTAATTAAATACACAATAACTCTTTAATTCAATAACTAATCAATCTCGAGTTGTTTACACAAATATGACGTACTTGTATAAACCTCGAACAACATGTAAAACATATTCGCAACACCTAAGTAGAAGTGGTTCTAATAAAATGAAATTTTACTGTTTATATTAAATGTTTGTTAAAACAAAACCGACAAAAAATGGTTGGTTGGATATTGAAAACAAAACCGATTTTTTTTTTTTTTTTCTGCGTTGATATTAATATCATTCGTTATTATTTATTTTAACAATTTTGATATTTTACCAAAAATAATGGTCAACACTTTCGGTAGTATCTCTTGTATTGGACCATTTTTGTTGTTCTATTAGATGTTGGTCAATAAAAGATTAATCCACGGTGCTTCTATAATATTAATTTATTAAAACCAACAGTGTCATCATGTAGGGTATGGAGGTTACTGAAGTCATGGTGTTTAGATCCAGAGTTTTAGAGTCTTGATGTTGAAAACTTTAAATATAAAATGTTATTAGGTATATTGCATAATTAAATATCTACCACCATGATAAATTTAGTTTACACACAAACATACCAACACTGAATATGCAAGATGTATCAGACCAGCGTATCGTAGGTCAGGAGGTGATTCTACACCTCATTTGAGACAAAAATATGATCTGGTTTCACGTAGTAAAGTAGGAAGCTACAGATTTTGTTTTTTTAAATGCCAATTTTTTTTATAAGGAACAATAACTAAATATATAATTTAGATAATTCCAATTGAAGCAAAGTAAACTTGGCAAAATTTCCTCCAGATAAAAGTAGAATATGTATTTGTTAAAAACATTTAAGGGAAGCTTTGAGGAGATAAAAAAAACCCTAAGTTGTGTGTTTCGTAAAATTTTGGATTATTTAAGGATTTTCGTCTTTTTTTTATCTTACTCCTACATGGCTACAAATTCCCTACTTTTGAAAAAAAAACTTCTGTGTTTAATAAGTCCATAATAATTCAATGTATCCACATGCCATATTGAATTTCAAAATTTATAACTATTTAAGCAGAGTTTTGTGAATGTAATAGATATCATTTCCCCCCAATTTCAGGGATATTAGGTTGGACATTGAATGTAATTTTCAGACATTTTTTTTACCTGATGCATCGGAACGGAGGGTGTCGTTCCTGCAGTAGACATCAAGCCCTGGTTCTGCGTCCGGGAAGCACGTTTTCTGCTCCAGGATTTTCTGAGCGCCGAGAGTATAGACGCCATAGGCGAAATAGTAAAGATAACCGACGGGCTCAGCAGTGAGGGATCCGAAAAATGTAGGAATTCGGCTGAGTCCATTCTTTATCCCCATTTCGATCGGGCTCACCTCACAGACTGTTCAAGTTCAAGTAGGATGGATTAAAGTATATTTGACAATAATCTAATCTAGAAGAGAGAAAAGATTACGCAACCCCTAGTGTTGGTCAGAAACTACTAATATTTCAGATGTAAGCTGAATCTATTGTATGTAGATACCAAATAAATATATTATTTATGTCCATTATTATTTCGTATTTTTAACAAATACAATTTTGAAATGAAATTATTACATTCATGTGTTAAAAAATTGGCAAAACTTTCATTAATGTTATTTGTTGCCACACTTAATTTCTTTATAGTATGTGACACTTTGATATATTGAATTTGGCATTTCAATATAATGTATATCGTTATATTGGCTACAATTTAAGAAAAAATACACCTTGTACTACAAGTATTCTATAGAGAAAGTACTCTTTCTTAAAGGATGGTTATCCAATGAGATGTGGTCAGCATCCACACTACACCAAACCACACTGTTTATCCCCCAATCCAATGAATGGTTGCATGGAAATGGTCCACAGCTGATTTAACGAAACATCAATTTTCTACCAGCAGCCCAGGAGTTAGAAGTAGACAATTTTGGCCATGATTAATTACATTTACCATGCTCAATGAAGAATATGGCACCAAAGGCACACTAAAATATAAAATACCTTAAAGTAAATTATGTAGTATTACTAGAAGAAGCTTTTTTTAGTAAAATATTTACTACCTACTACAAAGAGAGTGAAGTCAAACCACATAAAACTATAGAATTGAACTGCACAATATAACAAAATATTATTTAATGCAAGAAAACTTATGGAATAAATTATTTTTATATAAATTAAAGTAAAACTAAAATAAGCTACTGTATAAGAAATGATTGCAAGGATCTTGAACAACCAGTGTTCTAATCAGTTCCTTGTTCACCTTACTAAAGCATCAGTAATGATAAACTTTCTAACTAATATTTCATTTCTTTTTTTTTTTTTTTTTTTTTTAATGAAAAATAATAGGTAGACATATGAGTGTTTTCATGTCAAAGAGGCACATCTTGCATTTTTTAATTTAGAAAAACTTATTTTTGTAACAGCTTCAATTTAAACCAATTTTAATGATTATTCTTATTGTGGTTCAACTTTAACATTCATAAATTATATCATCAGAAACATATTGAATTGATGCAATAAAACTAAGATTGGCTTTTTCTCCACTTTCTGAAAATGACATATATTCATGTTTGATATGAGACCACTCATATGTTGTTTTTTGTCATTTACATGTTGAATAAAAAAATTTACTTAAAAATGTTTATTAATAAATCCTTTTTAAAAATCACTAAATTAAATCTATTTACACAAAGTATAAAATATATTACAAAAATTTAAAAATTAAGTATAAAAAAATTGATAAAGATATTTACAACTATTAAAAATATCTTAAAAATTCTCTATGAATTGTTATTTCTTATCTATTTACATAAATTAGTTTATAAAATTATTTACATTGAGATTGTTGTAAATACTCTAACAATAATACAATTAATCAATAACTATTTTTTAAATAGCTTAATTAAGTTAAACAAAATCATCAAAATAAATAAGAGTTACAGGAACAAGTTTTTAAAAAGAAAATCATTAGACTAGAACATTCTAAGATAATCTAATTAATTTTCTGATTTTGTCTTTTGGTCTTCACTAAGCGTTTGATCATTTAGACGAGCTATCGCACATTTACACCCCTCATTACACTGTCCATCTTTGCAACACTGGCGCTTATACAAAAATGTAGCAACACTAAAAAAAAAAAAAAAATTGTTTGATATAATATTCTTGAGTAAACACAGCTTGTCTTATTGAACAATCTGTTTAAAGTGGATGGAATAGGGGTTTAACAGCTAAATGATTGTTTTCTTTTTCTGTTTTTTTACCAAATATCTTAAAATTTATATATCGATAAATTTGTTTAATCTGTATCAAACGAATATGTATGAAGAGTTTGAAGAAGTCTTTCAAGTATTGTATTCAGATAATTCTAGGACTTAAATATGTTATTATATTTATAAGTGAACACATTAGCTCCCGATGGATAGATGCTTTCTGTTTCTCATTTTTTAACTTTAAAGAAGTTTTTCAGAATTTTTTTTAAAACTCTAAATCAATGCCAACTGTCACCCCCTTGTGGTGCTCTCTTGAGAGTCCATTGGGACTCATGGACAACAGAGTTGGAGCCTATCAAAACCTATCTATCTGAGTCTATCTATTAAGACCATAGGATCTCTTTTATATACCAAATTTTACTAATTGCCTATTGGAGGGAGAAAGAGATAGTTGTAGCTGAAGTGTAGTCAATTGCTTAGTTGTAGGAACATTATATCCAATAAAAAAATGTATTTTAGAAACACTCCCTTAACCAAAGTGGAGTCCATTAGAGCCAATTAACTCTTTAGTCGAATGACCTAGATAGCTGCCCCAACAATTGAAGCTCAGATAAGGTGCCATAGATGCCTGAATCCATACAGCCAAGCCTAATGCAATTGAACCTCAAGGGTCAGAGACTACAACACTTCAATCTGAATCAGCAGTCAAGGTTAAAAGCTAAAATTAGCAGAAAGGGTCTGCTCAACGCATTTCTGTAACAGCTGCAAAGAGATTGAGTGAAGTAGTACATTAAGAGCAGAACCTATATTAAGGCACCAGTGGTCATATGTTTGAGATAATGATTAATAATTATCCATCCAAATACCCATCTGACCTTTGGCCAGTAATAACGTCTTGAAGAACTTCTAATAGATAAGCTATATGATACTGATGAGTTAGACTTTATAAACTACAAAATGGATAGATGCAACTAATTATGTGAGTGAATCTCTGACCAGGAGATTCCAGAGAACTGATACAAATTATAAAACTATTATCAATCTTGTATGAAAAGATAACTGAAGATGGTGCTGACAAAATGGCTTAGAATACAATGCGAAAAATATATGTAGCTAACATTAAATTATAATTAAATAAATAATTCTTTAGATAATATTTACATTACATTGATATGTAAATTTTCTTTTTCTTCTTCTTCTCCTTTTACAGAGTTTTGTGTAGTCTGTGCTACTATGCTTAACCTTAAATATTAAGAAACCAATAGTAAATAATTACAACCAAATAAAATCACTACTTACCAAATGTTGGCTAACATTACAAGACCTATTGCTGTAGATATCAAGTGATAGGCTCCAGGCCAGGTCCCTAGCGTACTTTTAAATATATGATTGTACAAGAAAAGGAATCCCAGAGGGATAAATCCTTCACCAACACCAATGAAACTGCTATATATTCCTAAAAATAAAATATATTTGACAATATTTTAAAATAAATTTTATCAATCTATAACTATAACTTTTAAGACATGTACTTATGATTTATTTAATACATACCCAAGTCATTATCACTCACACATTTTGTAAGAATAGATCTATGAAGAACCAAAAGGCCATTCTTCATTGGATTCAAAGTAGAAACTGCAAATTATCAACATTTTTGTTTGATTAATTTCTTTAATAATTATTATAAAATTATATAAAGCCCAAAGTTAACATTTGATAATCACTTACATATATACAACTCAATAACGTTCTTTGATAAACCAATGCCAGTATATGAAATAGTGTAAAGTATCAAACTTAGAATAGTAATCGTAAAATCACTCCACTTTAGCCATTTTATCAATAATGGTGGGTATAAAACCAATGCTGAAAATTAAGCATTAAATATTAATCAAATATATTAAAAATTAATTACTTGTTTAATTTTTAAAATTAGATTTTAAAAAACTAATGAGACCAAAAAGGCACTATCTATCCCTAACACCAACCTAATTTACTTTTAAAATTTCAATCCTCTAACTAAATTTGGTGGAGCTGTAGAGATGCATAAACTTAAAATAAAAAAAAAATGTATACCAAGGAATTTTAATTTTAATTTATTTATAAGTACCCAAATGTTGTTTGGGGAGAACATATACATATCAGGCATCTTCAAGAAAGGGTCTCAATGAATTTTTAAATTAATATTACAATTAATTTTCATTGAGACAGGACAAACATTCAGAAAATTGAGAATGACCTTCCTAACTAGTGCTTTAATTTTTCTTGATTGACCTTATTTAGAACAGAAGAAGAAATTTCATTAGCTCCTAATGTGTATTATTTAGGATTTACATACCTAAAAAGTGCACTGCAATACAGTAGGCCATATAATATCCAAAGTTAGTAACATTCATGTCATTTGGAAATTGTTTTTCCACAAACAGCAATCGTACACTTCCCTCAGCTGAAATAAAAATAATATACAGGATTAAAGCAATCTTAATCATTCTAAAATACATTATATTAAACATAAAACAATAGTAAGATAATTATAGTCAATTTTATGAGTACTGGAAAAAAATATCTTTTACATTACAGAGAATAATATCATTTATGGTGTTCAGTACTTCATAAGAAAGTACTGTTTCTTTGTCAATGGTTGTGCAAGGCCAAAGGACTGGACTGTGATAAAAATAATAAAATCTTCCTGAAATTTTTATAGGAAGAATCTTTTAGTTATATTATGGTGATTTTTTTTATTTTAACGCCTTGCTAATATGTTATGAGAAATTTAATCCTGAGTTTTTAGTAAATAAATCAAAGATACCCTACTTGCTTGAGTAATTTAGAAAGTATACAAATCATTCATAAGGTCATCAGAGAAAATTCAAATATTATTTCATTTTTAAAATTATGTTTTCATAGTTAATTATAACCAATTAAGGATTTAAAATGCTCTTGACATCATTAATATTTGATGTCAATACAACATTAAGTCAATGATGTTACCGATATTTACCTACAGATGCACAGTACAGCAACCAGCTATTTAAAATCATCATCCAATTTACTATGCAAAATGTTCTTGTGTTAAATGGTACCAAGAATTTGCTAAGATTCAAAAAGCTTTTTCCTTCCGGCGGGGGTCTTCTTTTTTCTTTCATGAAAATGTATCCC